AGTGTCGTAATGTGTTCTTGTCTATCTAACAAATATGACGTAGTACTAGTACTAACACGTTCATACGAGTGAATCTCTTTTGGAAAGGAGTTACGCGCTCATACGATTATACATGTACGTGTATGGTGAGTGTTATATGTTACTGGGAGCTAAGCACTAGATATTTCCACTGACATTCTCCATGCATGAAATCCCCAGCATTGAAACCTTATCGCTGTAACCATGTAACCATATTTGGAGACCTTGAATACAAATACACTCCTGAATAAAATGTATTCTCTAGACATTTTTGGAGAGTCTAGGTTTCAATTTGAAATTAGATCCATTCATATGAGTACAATTTCGACTGACGTTGTACATAAACAGTGTTACAACAGGCAGAAGGGGGGAAGCACAGAGTCTCAGTCGGTAATCGCACTGTGATCAAACAGAGTCTCAGTCGGTAATCGCACTGTGATCAAAGGACTACCTCAGTTCTCAATAGTAATCCCAAGGGTTTTCATAAACAAATTACGATTGTGAATGGATTTAATAACAAGACATGTAATCCTTCAATACGAATGTGAAAGGATAATTTAGCACATTTTCTTGGACAACGGCAAAAAATAAATGTTGTTTATTATTCCGTTATGTCTATTTGCTTTCCCGGTGGCTTACAAATTAATTCATTAGTACGTTTACGTCACTACAATGTAGCTGTGTAATTACCCGGTTATAGAGGTGTGTTTCATTTTATAAATGTTGTTTATATAACAATAAAACAGTTTATTTTACTAAGTATAACTATTTATCACATTGCTGCGAATTTCCACACAGTGATTGAACTGTATTACTCATTGAAATCGATTTCTGTTTCATCAGCGTTTATTTCGTTTAATCCCGAAAATGTCAATATCTCTACGTATAAACGCCTAATTGTAACACTATAGGCAATCTTATTAAACGAGACGCGGTAATGAATGAGAGTATCATCTTGCACTGTAGCAAGAGAGATAACTCTTACATCAATAACGAATTGTCCTGACAGCGATCAAGCAACTAGCATTGATTTTCCTGAACCTAGACCTTTGGCCCTTCGTCTCTAGAATATTGAATTATTTAGAAAGCATAGACGCTAATAATTTTGATCACTTGGATGTTTGATTCTAGTTCTCAAACTAGGGGGAGATAAGCTAGTATAAAGTGCAGCCGATAAATCCGTCATGTATAACCATACCCTTACTGACGTTAAAAACTTATCACGCATCATGGTGGGAAACTTATAGAATTTTAACAATTATATAGCAATAATCAAAAACTTGTCATGTAAGCAGGGAATGAATGCCATGAAAAGAAGTATTTCTGTTTTTATATTCCCAAGGATAATATCAGGCCCCATTGACATGATATTTCTATTACTGCCACCGGACAAGTTTGGTGAAAGACGAATATCTAACAAACGACTGATATGATAGTGTGAAAGTATTTAAATGCGTTTTGAAACGTTTGCAAATCTTATTCCGGCAAGTTGTATACATATCTTCTCATAAGTTGCTGTTTGCAAGGAGGATCTACTTTCAAATTCAAGGGTTATCAGCTTTTACATTGCCGTGCAGCTTTAATGAGTATTTTATTAAAACCGTGTCAGAATCAGTCTCAGCTACAAGGTACGACCAGTCTGTGGGCCTGGTAGTCCACTATAACAGGGCCAAACCCTTGTTGTGTATTATAACCAGAACAATTACAAAGAAAGGTAACACATTTTGCAGATGTTAAAATAAGTCTTTAACTTTATTTTCAATATTTGATTGAATATTTGCAAGTTGTTTTTCACATGTCTTATTTTTGAAAAGTAAGAATTCTTCAATACTAAAAAGAAACCACTCATGATAAATATTTAATATTGGAATATTGATGAAAATCGTTGCGTATTCAGAGTACAATACGTCGTAACAGCGATGCTTTCGAGATAATAACAATGAAAAAAGGAATAAAACGCTGATCGTGTCGTTTTAATGACTTTCAAACATTCACATGATTATACATTGACTTTTAAACGCATATTAACATTATATGCAAGGATGCTGCTGCCATAACTGACATCGATTTAACTTTGATGAATTAGCTTTTGTTTGATCGTAGTTTTGGCACAGGACACACAGGACACACAGAACACACTTAAAAGTGAAGTTCATTTGAGAAACGTGGTATACTTAAACTCAAACCAGGAAACCATACATGCCAAAAAGACAGACGCATTGAAATACATGTATCTTTTTTTAGTCAAGCTTTGTAAGCGATAGAGTTTTAATTTATGTGGTTGTAAGTTTTTAATACTGTGTAACTAAACTTAAAGCGAATTAATAAATGAAAGGAGAGTAAAGAAATGTATATGTATAAGGAACCCTGTGTGTGTGTGTGTGTGTGTGTGTGTGTGTGTGTGTGAGAGAGAGATAGTTCAAAGGGAGGTAACTCGTATCGCCATTGCTCTTGTGGCAGACAGTGATAGCAAAAAAGAAAGTTAATGTTAGATATGCTGATGTGATATCAATTGAGAGGTGTACAATCGTTGAGGTATAAATACCATATTGTTCGATCAAAGCTCGTGTCTAAATCTAAATTACTCTTATCTCGTAGAAAACTGATATGTAAACCTATCAGAAAATTGTGTCATGATCAAGTGAAAAATGAAAAAATGTTCGGAACTGAATTATTGTCCTTTATCACATAATGTGTGTTAATAAACAGCTTGTATGTAAATCCTGTCGTGTGCACGGTTTATTTTCTTAAGTCTTCTACCTGTGTTGTAACCCTGAATTCTTTAAAATAAGGAGCCCTGTCCCTGATAATTATTTATCAAATTAATGCTGTAAAAACTAATAGCTCTAATTTGGAATTTATGTATAATTTACTTTTTAACTGTTAATAATTAATGTTTTTTCAAATATCCATGCTCTTGTCAGAATTTGCTCAAACGGTATTGAGTTGACAGCAGAGGATTTTCTGTAGGTCCTAAAATCAGAATGTGGTTTTCATATTTACAGTATTGTCCCTTTAATTTCGTTTAGGAATATCTGCTTTTGTGAGAAAACGACGTAATTTTCTCAAACAAACCAATGACAAGCAAAGACAGAATACATGTCGCACAGTCGGACGGGGACACTTCCGTTTACAAGGTTTCTCAGTCGGTTGGAACAATAGTAGAACAATTAGAAGTCCGAGGTTCGAATCCCGATACAGCCATCTGAATCTACACTCGGAACTCCGTTGTTGGTTATATTTTGTTTATTTCATGTTCAGTAAAAAAAAAAGTTCTGCAATGACCAGTTTCCAATCTGGAGTTACAGTTTGGTCATCGATGATAATATATGTCGAATTTGATCACCATAAGGTACAGTTGTATTTGTTTGGCTACAAAAACATTTCCGCATACAAGACACTGCACTCGTTTATACTGAAAGGTTTTATTGGTTTTTTTCTGATTGCGTTNTTCTAAAAAAAAAAAAAAAAAAAAAAAAAAAAAATCTAATAAACGTTCCACAATATTAACAGATTAAACTCATCTTGCAGAAATCAAAATGAATGCAAAATAACATTCCACGTTTACCCAGATATCTGGACTAGTATTCATGAAACCGTTCTCATGCTCACAGATTTTTTGCTCAAGTCCAATTCTTTGTTTTCGTGCTAAATTAATGAAAATTCCCAAATTTTCCATGAATTGGAATAGTTTTGGAGAGACTTGAAGTCAATAACACTTTTTTACATTTGAATTTTTTGAACATGTCACGTGTTTTAAGGGTATTATCAGAAAGTCGATTTGAGTACAGAATTCATGTTTGAGCATGAGACCGATTTCATGAAAACAGGCTTTGAAGTCAGCATTAACATCTGTTGGGTCAGTTACTCAGCAGTACGCGGTCTGTCGCCTGCCGTCTGTCATATATCGTCCCTCTGTAAACTTTTCTTTAACCCTCTTTTTGTTAAAGAACCACCAGGTCAATCACAACCAAGTTTGGTAGGAAATATCATTATGTGATGAGGATTCATACATGTGAATAAGGTTTCAGGTATCTCATCAAATCTTCTTGTAACGAACCAGCCGTCGGATGATTTTTATATTTGATATATCGCACCCTTAGCAAATGTACAACAACGTATGCAAAGGAAAACCAATGTATGTTGTTAAACTGGGGGAGTAGGGGGCAATTTGCAACGCGCTATGCAGTTTGAATGGTTAAACAATAAAAGGCCTGGAGTCATAATATTTCTACTTCATGGCATGTAGTGCTACGAAGGATGCGAACACTATTTAACTTGACCTTTATTCAGGGTCGCAACTCATTTTATTTGGCCAGTATCTTGCCAGCTATGAATGCTAAAATGTGAAAAAAATGACCTTGACCTATGTTCAAGGTCACAGGGTACCAATATGGTAAAACACTCTCACAGGTTATTTTTTTTAATTTTCTGGAACACCATTAGCCCAAGAGTCGTGAACAAATGCCTCGTTGCTTGGAGTTATATGTTATCAAAAGATTATTGAAAAAAAACCGGCCGTGATTAATATTAAAGGTGACAGGAATAAAATCTGTCAATACACTCAGCAGTTTCTCCTGATGAAACAAGAGGTCTAGAGTCACGATATATTGCCATTGGCTTGCTACATATGTAGCATTGTATAGCATCGTATGAAGAACCAAAAGCAATAAAGTTTGTATGTTTCAAGAAGATTGCTGAAAAAGTGTACTACTACAGAGGTCGTGAAAAGAAATGACCTAGACCTATAATCAATTCCACTATGCCCAAATATGCTAAAACAGTAAAACTGAAACACCAAAAGGCCTGGATTCGGGATGTATAGTTATTGGCTTGCTTGCAATAAGTGCTACAAAGTTTGAGAAAAGAAGTAATATAAACCTTTACTCAAGGTCACATGGGGTCATATATATGTAAAAAAAAAAAAAAAAAAAAAAAAAAAAAAAAATTTAAAAAAAAAAAAAAAAAAAAAAAAAAAAAAAACATTCATGTAGATTCTTCTTATGAACAAAAAAGCGTTAAGTCATGAGACAGAGTATACATTTAAGTCATAGGATCGCTGATATACAGTTTTAGGCAAGATGCCTCTTATAAATAGTTAGGGTCTTCAGGCCCCGTGGGCCTCTCGTGTTTTGATTGAAGTAGTTCGTTTTCACGTTCTCCTCACAAATGTTTCATATTTAATCATCATTTCATTTGACGATTTTAAATACAGTATACACATGTACACGAGTCTTGAAACAATAGTTTACTCAGTGTCAAATCTCTGTATAGCTGCGATCCTCTCCAAAGCAGGGTTGTACTCGTGATAATCTGTCTTTGTTTGAGCTGAGTCCCGGTAAGCACGGATGGCCCTGGGATAGTCCCCCAACATCTGGTAGCATAGTCCCAGCAGTGTATTCACTATCCAGTGTCTATGTCCTCCTTGAAGGTCATCGTACTTGACCTGTATCAGGTTTCGTAGTGCTACGTCACATCCTATTCTGTCCTTACGCTCATTACAGCTCATGAAAGACAAGAACGCAGCATACGGTAGTGGCGGGATCAAAACACCCAATGGGCTTCTTGTTATCTCCAGGCGAAGGTGGGGTAGATACATTGTTTCTTTATGTACATAAATGTCACGTGTGAATGTTTTTTTCAGTTTATGAATTGAGGTGTATCTTTTTCCACAGTATTGCTGCCTATACATTTCTTCTTGATTTTGTGGTAAGAAGGTTCTAGTATGGGTGAAATACGATGGCTGTGAAGTTATGCGTCCACACATTTCTTGGGCTTTCGAGTAATTACCTGTGAGGAAGTGCAGAGTTGCCAAGTCCAGCAGGTATGTACCCATTGAAGCACATAGTGTCAGTCGGTGTTGACACTTCCTCAAGGTACGGTACCTGGTCTTGTTGTTGGTAGACCCTGCGACAAGGTCTTGATGGATTTCTCTCTTTGCTGCCGTGGATACTATATCAACAGTAGTCGCAAAAGCGACTAATTCATCTAGCTCCGAAACAGATTTCATTTGTAAATTAATTGATCTTGCAATTAACAGAGGTGTGCAAAACTCGAAGGGAAGCATCAGTTTATCCAGCGTTCGTTTAATATTCATATCCTGTCTGTACTCCATTTCTTGGACAGTTTGTGTACGATTTAGTTCGGTTTGTATTTCGAAATTACAAACACATTCCAGCATACTAACCTCACTGAATGTCCTAGATGTATGTGAAAGGCAAAGTAACTTCTCTGAATGAAACATGTTCAGCATGAGAAATAGTTTTTGTTGATTTTCTCCATGAACCTTTCTCTGGAACATGTTGTTGGTAGGGATGAAGTAGTTTGGAAAGTGTCCTACTTTAACACAAGAGATCAGAATGTTGAAGCAAAACCAGAAACAATAAAACAGATTTTGTTCTTGCCAGAGCTTCGGATTTGAGTGTTCCACTGAAATAAACAAAAGTGTTTTTAAATGATAAGAACACAAAATATCATCATCTTCTTTCCCAATGATATATCGGAGTTTATCTTTCATTTGTTTTAAGAAATATTTCAGGAAACAATACATTTTCATTTGTATATGACTCAAAGAGTGAACTAATAGTCTCTCTGCTGATGCAAATGACACCCTCCACTGTAATAATGTGTCGTCAGAACATTTGTCCCCTACTGGGACAAGATGACATCCGTTTTGTACAATTTTGTCAATCAACGCTTGTGTTGGCCAACCATATAGACGTGGACGTCTTACCCATTGGTTAGCCTCCCTTGGCCAACTGTTAAAGTGAAAGCATCTGACATGATCCATATCTTCAACTGAACAGCTTGGACCATTCGATACATGACGCATTCCTGTTTGCGTTGTTCGTTTGTTGACAATTTGTTCTCTGTACATGTCACTAGAGACAAATATAACATTTCCAACTGGAGCAAATGAATTACATAAACAGCTATCAATTTTTTGTCCAATATGACCTAATTGTAAGGCCACATACCCAGGTCGGCAAGCCGACTCTCTCACATACAGCACAGTCTTGTGTGCGTCTTCTGGAGGAACAATCTGTCCAGGATACAAGGCCACGACATGATTGTCTACAAACATGAAGTCAAAATCTGAACCAAACAGGGATAGTCCTTCAGCCTTACTTCCGCCGTAATGTACATTCAAATCATCGTTAGTAGTGTTAATTATGCGTTCATGTATAAGCATTGCTCTCCTCCTGAATCGAATGGCCTCTTCCGTCCCCATTAGACTCCTTTCAATGAGTTTTGAGATCAACACAGAAATCTTTTCAAAATTCCATGGAGGACCCTCCATTACGGTTTGTTGATGAAGCCTGCAAAAGATAAAAAAGCAAAACAAAATATGATAAATATTTATACAAATGAAGGTATATATTCCCATTTGATTAACTGGAACTTAATGTGATGCGTCAGTATAAGCGGTAGTGATGTCACAATGACCTGTATTCTGTATATTGGTGTAGTGCATGTCCATCAATCTTAATACATGAAGACAGATGACTTGTGGCGAAAAGACGTGAAATCTATTACATTGTACTGTATAGCATTTTAAATTCGCGGGGTCAATATGTCGTGGTTTCCTATTCAGTATATATTCGCGGGGTTAAATTTCGCTGTGCATCCGAATCCCATGTGCCGTACAGAGTATTTTGAGTGTCATCATTTACGGGTTTAACCTGGAAATACAGGTAAACCGTTTAAAAACACTGGTCCCGAGCGTCGTTATCCGCCAGTGACCTCACTCGAAAGAAAATCGAATGTGTATGTACCTTTGTAGGAGTAAACTGTAATCAATTTATCACCTTCTGTGTACGTATAAATATGTTGTGGCCACTTATATGTAAGTGTTGTTCTTACATGGACTGCCCAGTTGTTCGGTGATAATCTGATTTGAGTTCATTTAAGCTTGCATAACAGCGTTGGGTTATAAGTATGCTCACCATGTTGTGATAAGGTCCGTAAAAGTGGTAAACATTTTTGATAATTTCGTTGGTGTTTCGAATTCGCAGATATTATACAAAGCGCGAATATAGCGAAATTGAAACCCCCGCGAAAAATAACATCTCTACAGTTTATAGAATTACATTGAGCTTTACATTGAATCCCTTGTTCTACAGGACAATATATATGTAGATGAAACGATGCTTTCTTTCTAACGACTCTGCTTATTCAAGATTGATAAAATTTAAGATTAATAAAAATGTTACCTTGGAGATGAGATAAGGGAATCTCGACCAGAGGGGAGACTCATAACTATAAGTTGCGTAACACGAGGGTTGTCTACTTAAGAATCTTTCCCCGAGGGTTGAGATTCCCAATCTCACAGGGGCGATTGATTCTTTTCTCTTACCCTGTTAACCTATTGTGTATCAAATACAAAATGTAATGTTAACGTTAAAGGCCTAATAAAGGGTTGATATTACGCTGATGCATTGTTGATGTGACGTCATATGATTGTTATGAATATGGGAATCCCCCGTCACAACCCTAGGGTGAACTTATAAAATATAATTCATGTATCTGAGCGAGATCGGGTTATCTCAGCCGAGGGCTAAGATTCTGTAACAACATCCGAACCAAGGTTTAAGCCGATAATTGGATGTTACAATCTTGACCCGAACCTTGCTCAGTCACAGGTAATTGATTTTGTTCTCGCACCTTTGAGTTTGAAATAAACAATTCAGTTGTGCTAATAAGTACAAGTATCCCGTAAGGGCCTACTATAAATATTGCATCTACACTACTAAAGCTGCATTTTAATTCTTCCGCGTAAAAATGTAGTCCGTCCTTACAAAAAAGACAACATATTATATTAATATTTATATATTTCACAGTGAACACCTTAGTTTATGTCCAAATATAGCTGTAACAAATTCTCAGGTCCCTGTGTACTGATGTATGGATACTGCAGTACATTTATAGTCAACTGTGTTCGCAGTATAGCGAAGTACTCAGGATTTGATGGTCAGACACAGGAAAAGGACTTTACATCATAAACGAGATGTTTTGTGGAAATTGAAATACTTCTCTGTTATGAGACCTCATTGTGAAGGGGAGGGGTGAAATTTAAAACAGATACCTGAAATTTGACAGTGTGTTACGTGTTAGTCACTAAACTATTTTTAGCGTCCGTCGTCCGTCCGTCAACTTTTCCTTTAAAACGCTACTAGTCATGAACGACTGAGCAGATTTTGACCAAATTTGGTCAAAAGCATCCTTGGAAGAAGGGGAACAAATTTTGTATAAATGGTGGTTCTGAAGCGTTCTTGGGTGAAAGGGAATCCTCCATTCTTCATGGGTTACGCTCACTTCGCAGGGAGCAACAGTGATGGTACCCCTGGAGTATCGGGTTTGGTAGATGTTTGTTTTTTTACTATTTGTTTGCAGTGGTGAAAAGCTTTTATGTTGGTTCAAATTAATGACCTTGACTCCGTTTTAATGTATCATGATTCAAATGTGTGTCAATATTCATTAAATATATATTTTTATAGACTGTAGGGATTTGGCCTCTAGCTGGCAAAGATGAAGGGCTATCATGTTTGTTTAAAAATGCGTATTACAAATACATGATATTGACCCACTTTTAAGGCAAATTTGTGAACTCCTATGAAGAACCACGAAGGTTTTCAAAATGAACTATTTATGTATCATATTACAATGACATTACTTTATCAACTACATTTCCCTTAAAGTGATGCCTATATGATGAATCAATATCATACATATCTGATGATTGAATACATATCTGATGATTGAATACATATCTGATGAATTAACAGATATATGATTAATTCATTGATATGAGATGAATGTATAACTATATAATGAATTAATAGATATAAGATGAATTAATACATATACATTTTGTATGACCAATTAATATATATCTGATGAAGTAATATACAATGTATATCTGATGAATTAAAATACATATATGATAAATTAATACATATAAGATGAATTCATACAAATATGACGAATTAGTATATATATGAACAAATATACAACATTCTCATCTTGATTTAAAAACTTAATATAAAATGAGATTTTTGACCTAATTATGATTATAGAAAAATAAAAGTCATACCTGTCGTTTTCATTTGGTCAAGAAAGCAACTATTTCATAAGGAAGAATGCCTAGGCCGATCTCCAAGAAGTGTTCAAATGTGTCTGGCCATCACTGAAGGTCTATGTACACTACATTTCTTTTATAGTCAACTGTTCTGGTTCAATTTCAGAGATTCGGAAAATACCATAAGGAAGAATTTGTTTTCCTGATATAAATGCGTCTATGGTATAACAAAGTACTCAGAAATTGTTGAGTAGATCCAGGAAAGGACTTAACACCATAAGCGGGAGGCTCCGTGGAAAATTGAAATACTTCCCTGTTAGGAGACCTCATTGAAAAGGGGGCGGGGATGAAATTTAAAATAGAGTCCTGAAATTGTTCTGACGGTATGTTACGTGTCAGTCACAAAACTATTCTTAGCTAAATTGAAGCAAAAGGTCAAGTGATTTTTGTCATGGTTCGTCATCAATGCTTTCTCCATCCGTGTAACGTTGACTTCTAAGGTCACCTGACCTAAAAGGCTTTCCTAATCCTATAATGCCCCCCTCCCCATAATAGTGTATAGGCCTAATGGGGATGATATTTGATCATTTGAACGCTAAGAGTAAGATCAAGGCCGTAATGACTTTGACCCTCTTTCAAGATCATACGGTTCAAATATGTTTACTTTTTGTATGCTGTAATGAAAGGCTGTTATATTTGATCAATTAAAAGGCCTCGATTAATTTTTAAGATCTAATGATTAAAATGTATGTCAATATTCATGAAATATTTTTTTGATTAACTGAGAGTCGTAGACTGTTGATATTTGGCCTTAAGCTAGTTGAGATGAAGGGCTATCATGTTTATTTAAATGAGAGTCATAGACTTGTGATATTTGGCCTTTGGCTAGTTGAGATGAAGGGATATCATGTTTATTTAACCGAGAGTCATAGACTGTTGATATTTGGCCTTTAGCTAGTTGAGATGAAGGGCTATCATGTTTATTTAACCGAGAGTCGTAGACTGTTGATATTTGGCCTTTAACTAGTTGAGATGAAGGGCCATCATGTTTATTTAAATGAGAGTCGTAGACTGTTGATATTTGGCCTTTAGCTTGTTGAGATGAAGGGCTATCATGTTTATTTAACTGAGAGTTGTAGACTGTTGATATTTGGCCTTTAACTAGTTGAGATGAAGTGCTATCATGTTTATTTAACTGAAAGTCGTAGACTGTAGATATTTTGCCTTTAGCTTGTTGAGATGAAGGGCTATCATGGTTATTTAACTGAGATGTTGATATTTGGCCTTTAGCTAGTTGAGATGAAGGGCTATCATGTTTCTTTTCTACGCGTGTGTAGATCTATTTAAACTGCAGTTCAATTATAGTCAACTGTACTGATTCAATTTCAGAAATTTGGCAAATATCACAAGGAAGTATTTGTTTTCATAGATATAAATGTGTCCACAGTGTAACAAAGTACTCGGTAATTGATGACTAAACGAGGACAAGTACTTACGAGAAGTTCAGCGGATAATTGTAATATTTCCTTGTGGATGACCGCATCGGGGGATGTTGATCAAAATATAGTCCTGAAAATTTTATGACATTATAATATATATCGCCCAAAGATAAATTGGCTAGAAAACGACAATTAGATAATGAAATATGAACATGTGTAGGCTGAGTTCAAGGCCTTAAAAACATTGAACCTTTTTCAAAATCATGATATTCACATTTTCAAAATCATGATATTCACATTTTCAAAATTCGTTAAATATTTAAATGACATCTTAATAACAAAGAGGTCAATGGTGATGGGATTTGGCTAGAAGGCAATCTAGTCCTCTTGTTTCTGAGTAAATATATAGATACAGACAATCTGGGCTTCTTGTTTCTAAGTAAATATTGTTAATCTGATACTTTAAATACACTGATAATAACAAGGAAATTAAAATGAGGCAAATTTCAAATTCCTGTGCATAGGACAGAACTTNTAAAAAAAAAAAAAAAAAAAAAAAAAAAAAAAAAAAAAAACAGAAACGGTCCAATTGACCTGTATCGCGCATTTGTCATTCGTACATGCGAATATCTTTTGTTCTTAACCCTTCTATTCAACGGGTCAAAAGACCACTTCATTTTTGAAAGACAATGTCAATATTTCGGTTCGGAGACCCACTCGATATCTGTATGCAGTGTATGAAATTAAAATGGATTTATCGTGATGTCGTTTTACGTTTGATCTAAAGTGACCGCATGTCGTATTTGTTGTTTACATAGCTACCGATCCGACTGCTTAATAAACTAATGAAGGTCTAACTAATCTAAAGTGGGCGCCAATATCCGTAATTATATTCAGGTTAACATCATGGAAATGCTGAGTTGTTTTCGTATTGTCGAGATATTTGTCCATTGTTCACAAACATGTTTCTAATTCACCGATAACTGACCTACAGACAATTTCGCTGACGACCTTGAATCGAGGTATCATTCACACTGTTTACATGACGTACGCTTGACGATTTGACTGCATGGTGAGAAGAGACCTTGATTAAAACTAATTTAGATTTTTGACAGATATATGGGATAACGTGTTTAATTAATTAACCGGTGCAAATATACTGATTACCATACTAAGGTGTAATAACGCGCTGCGTTCAGAACGAGGCGGGGAGCTAGAGTTAAACGGGAAAGTGATGTGTGGAAATCGGGAACGAAAATATCATTCAGATCGACAAGGAAATTTGAACAACAGTTGTATCTTTTTCATTTATATATGAATGAACCAATTTTTTAATATTTTCAAACATATGAAAAGATATACAACTAATAATGTTTCACTACTGATTTTTAGACAAAGACTTTTTGTATAACACTTGGCTAAAAGCGAATGATCGTATTCTGATAAAACGCTCGGATAGTAATAATGAAACCAATTAACTATTAATCTAGAAAGGAATTGCAATGTTGTGTCATCTTGTTTAGCGCCTTACTAAGCATCTGTTTTCCTTCAGTTGATCATTTTTCTATATTATATAACACTACTGTCACATTCTATTGAATGTTATTATACCGAAAGTAAACATGGCGGCTGAAGCGAACCGTACGCGCATCTTCTTTGCGCAGTCACTATTTTGCACTGTCGCACACACTGTCGCCCGTTGCTAGGGCGTTGGGAAGCACCTCTCCATTGACTCAATGTTAAACTGTGAAGGTGACAGCTGTGTGAAATTTTTGTCCTAGGCTCGGTTATAACCGGAACAAGGACGTAAAGCCCCATCAATCAATCAATCAGCTGTGTGAAATGAACAATTTGTCTCGACCAATGAGGTTACAGGATTTTCACTAAAGATATAATAAGATAAGAAAACCCCTTCGACATATTATGACAGTGTTATCTTTGTGTATCTATATAGTCAATTAAGACCGGATACTTCCGTTCTATTTGATTTCTGTTTCTTCGTAATTTGAACAACCCAGTTGTTGAAAGTCTGCTTCGTAATCGCAAATTTCTAAAAAAAAAAATGCCAGTTTTTAATTTTATATCCGGAAAAACGAGTTCCGGATCCAAGAGTTTTTATCAGAAAACCATGTGCCATTTCTCATTTACTTCTAATTTCATTAGGGGAAACTAATTGCTACATTTTTTCGTTCAAAAATATTTTATCATCATATCAAAAGGATCAAGTACAAATTCTTACAATTTACTAGGCCATCTTCGGATTTTTTTTTTTTTAATAATATATACTTAATGAATGTTCAAGTGGTTTATAAAGACTGTGTTTACAATGAACTCGCGCTACTTAATCCGTACTCCCGTCTAGAGGATATATTTTGCCCTAGTTACAGTACTTAAATTAGCTAAACAAAATATATCCTCTAGACGGGAGCACGGATTAAGTAACGGGAGTTCATTGTGAACACAGTCTATATAAACCACTTGATCAATAGTCACCCTGAAACTGGGAAACTCAATTCGAAGTAAAGACGCAGGGCAATTTTTGGATCGATTGTGTGAACAACTAAGGTGAAAGAGCTCTAAGAAAACTGACGTGTACTATAATAAACAAATAAGGTTTTTATTTCCGGAATAGGTTTTTAGTCAAATATTCACAACGAATTTCTTTACTTCAAAACAATTTAACATGTCTTTTTATATAAAAAAATATATAAATGAGTTTTAGAGGGTCAGAAATATCTTAAGCTTGATGCAGTTTTTCTATTTTGTATCGGAATATGTAACGTCAATGAAATTATTGATTTTTTGTATTTGAGTGGTTTGTTCTCTCAAAAAGCGGATCTCCCCCGGAGAGAGCCTCTTTGCAATGAGCTCGTGTCAATGGGAAACATGTCCTGTCTCTATTCATACGTATAATACCTATATTACCATGTCTCTGTGTAGCCATTCTGGTACTCTAACTGTAGCCGGCTTTAAAAGCTGCTGTTGTGAGAGAAAGATTCCACTTATTGTAAAATAGGTAAAATATTGATGTTAAAATATTGATTTTTACGTTTTCCGATGATTTTTTTTAACTGAGTGAAAACAAACATCGACATGACTACTTAATGACAAAGTGTTAATTCATATATAATGGTAGCGGAGAAATACGCATACTTACCACTAGCCATGGAGGAAACTGGGAAACAGTTTATGAGTGAGGAACAGGTACGTATACATACCTATATGTACCTGTAACTTACCTGAAGACAGATATACCCTGTATTTATCGTTTTCTTACCTTTAATTATTGTCAGTTACCTGTGTTTGTCTACAGCTGAGATACGTGTATAGATGTCTTATTATTTAGAAATGTACCATACCATTAGAGAAAGCTTTATCACAATTGAAAGTTTTGGGAGAGAATATTCTTACAAATTATATGACAGTTTTATATTTATATCAATTCTATATGTGTATTTAAATGTTACTTAAGTATAAACATTCCCATAATTAATATGTCTTTAAAGATTAAAAAGATGAAATCAGACAAAGGAAAATGTTTGATATAGAAAAGAAATGCTACTGCAATTAGGGGAATTATAATGATATAACTACATAAAGGGATTTCTAATCATCTCATAGACAACTACCCTCAATTTAATGAATTAGGTGTACAATTATGCGTAAATGAGATGTG